TATTCTATTCTATTCTATTCTATTCTATTCTATTCTATTCTATTCTACCTATATTGATAGAATTCTTTATTGGCCAAGTGTGATTGGACACACAAGGAATTTGTCTTGGTGCAAATGCTCTTAGTGTACATAAAAGAAAAGCTACATTCGTCAAGAGTCAAAAATCATAAGGTACAACACTTAATAATAGTCATAGGGTACAATAAGCAATCAAACCATACTAGGAAACAGTCCATATAAATCGTAAGGATACAAGCGACAAAGTTACAATCATACAGTCACAAGTGGGAGGGGATGGGTGATAAAGCGTGATGAGAAGATTAATAGTAATAGTAGTGCAGACTTTGTAAATAGTAAATAACTCTGGCAAGAAAGGTCATAAAATGGGGCAAAACTTACTTAACAGCTGCCTCATTTAGCAACAGAAATTTGGGGGTCAATTATGATCGTAAGTCAGGGACTACCATACCTGTACATTTCTGCGAGGAAAAGAGCCACTTGCGTTCCCAGGAAGACGTTTTAATGAATATTCACAAGAGTGGAATTAAAAGTGCTAGTTTTGACCTTAATGCCCTTTATGGTTGAGCTCCAAAGTACCTCAGGGGCTATATTCTCCAACTGGAAATGATTTATCCAGTATGTTCATCATGGGAAAATGGGGTTTTTTTTTTTTTTTTTTTTTTCAAGATTAGGGGAGCTGAAGCAGTTTTTTCTCAGTGGCTCCAATTATATGAATGTCAGGCTTGGCCCCAATATGATGGCCTGTAGAGAACAAGGAAGATGATCTTGATGAACACCTACAGGAGCTGTTTAGGCAAAAAAAAAAAAAGTGGGGGAAGGGGGGCTGAAGCATAGTTTAAATCCAGGACAGCCAGATAACATTCAGAAGTGACTTGGACAGATACCTCCCTAATTCACCAAATTATAAGTAGGAGGAAGTACAGCCCAATCTGATTTTTAAGATTCTGCCATTATTGTCGGTCTGAATACTTTTAGGCTTCTTGTTGACTTGATTTCCTAGTCTCGGTCTAGCTGGTGACATGGCCTTCTGAAAAACATTCTACATAAAATTGCTTTGGTGATTTATTTATTGAATCGGTTTATATGATACTGTCTTTATTGGCATTGGCTAGTATCTCACTGTGTGATTTTTCTTTTATGCTATACTATGCGACGGGTATAGTGATATTGATTGTAATTTATTTACCATATGGATTTGTTCCTACTGTTGATGGTTTAATCTGGCGGTGCTGATGTGGTTTAGACTTTTAATGCCTCCATTATTTATATATTCTCCCATAGCTGCTTTCATTAAAACATTTAATTGAATCCTGCCGAGACTTTCTCCCAAGACTTTTGAAGACAGGGGGAGGCAGTTAGTGATAGCACTTAGGAGAACTGGAAGACTTTTCAGAACTGGTCCCTGTTGCCTTCCTGCAGCTGGATATATTTCTAGGAAACTTTTCCCACAAACATCTGGCTTCACTGAGTCTTTTGGAATCTGAGGGGCTGTGAGATGTTTTTGAAGGAAAAATTTCCATTTGCTTTCCTCTTCTCTATAGATGCTGATGTCTTGGATACTTGGTTCTCCTCCAGCCTTTTCCCTTTTGCTGCTTTGGGCTGGCCCCACAAGGTGAGTAACCTTTGGAGACATAGAGCAGTTGGCTTGCATTGACCATATTTGTGGTAGTCTGGACAGGAAACCAAAGCCATGAGTAGTAACGATATCTTTATTTTAAGGTTCAGTAACAATCTTGCGAAGGGACGCGGTGGCTCATTGGCTAAGATGCTGAGCCTGTCAATTAGAAAGGTCGACAGTTCAGCGGTTCGAATCCCTAGCTGCGTAATGGAGCGAGCTCTCATTCCTTGTCCCAGCTTCTGCCAACCTAGTAGTTTGAAAGCATGTCAAAAATGCAAGTAGAAAAATAGGGACCATCTTTGGTGGGAAGGTAACAGTGTTCCGTGCGCCTTCGACGTTTAGTCATGCCGGCCACATGACCACAGAGACGTCTTTGGACAGTGCTGGCTCTTCGGCTTTAAAATGGAGATGAGCAGCGCCCCCTAGAACCAGAAACGACTAGCACGTATGTGCGAGGGGAACCTTTACCTTTAACAATCTTGCAAGCCTTCTGTGATGACCCGGGGCGTGGCACAAAAATAACAAAAGCCACAAAAGTAGATAAATTCCTTTTAATGCCTCCAATGTCAAGTTATCCTTGGGTGGAGATCAAACTCTTTCAAAAACAGTCTACAAAGGGAAGAAATGCAGTCCGAACTCAAAGTACAGATAAATTAGAAATAAAAAAAACAACAACACAAACCACGCTGAAGAAAATTAACACAACAGGCCAGGATAATAAATTGTAGACTTCCAAAAGATAACAAAGCACGCATAGATGGGAGAACGCCAAAACCGAGATAAACCTCGACAAAGATAATGCACGCTTTGCTTTCAGCAAGGTGCTGTTTGCAAATGCCCTTCTTATATCCTGTTCTCCCAGTTGCAACGAATGAAGGGGATCAGTGCCCTTTTCTCTCCCGTAAGCCACGTTGCTCCCTTCTCCGTTCCTCCCTGCGTGCCCTAGGATGAAGAGGGGGTGGCCCTCTGAATGCCCAGCCGGACTGTGCCCTTCCCCCATTTCTTCCACAGCTACCGGAGCCACACTCACACTCCCTGTCAGCTGCTCAATCTCCCCCTCAGAATCAGACTCCAACAAGGGCATGTCACCTTCTCCCCCACTTTGTCTTTGCTTTCCAGAGAACTAAAGAGGGTCCCTTCTGAGACGCTTTGTCCATCCCCATTCATTCTGTGGGCTGAGGTGTCTCTTATGTGACCAAGTTATTGCTTTTGCTCCTGTCTCCCAAAGTTACTCTCGTTAGACTACATCCAGCTCTCCTATATCTAGGTATATTTGTTGTGGCCTTTCGGCCGCCAGCCCCTCCAGCAGTCAAATCAGAGGAGGAGGAGGCGTGGGATTTAGGACAGGGGTGAGATGCTGCCGGTTTAACAACCAGTTCGGTAATCACACGTTCGCGCCTAATGCATGCTGTGCAGGCATCAACACAATACAAAAGTCCTTACCTACTATGTTACTTTGGGGGAGTAACAGCTGAGGAGCGGCAATCCACTCTTCCGCACTCATCAGCTGGGACGATAAAGGTTAGTACAGCGCAGGGTGAGTGGATGGGCCCACATGATCCTCACAGAGAACCGTTTGGGAGACGGCTGATCTTTGGAGCAAGGGGTTCGCCCAAACCAGCCCGAACTGGCAGAATCCCACCCCCGGAGTCAGGATTAGCATCAGGGCAACCCGAGAGCTCCGAGGGGTAAGAGGGAATGGAGCTGGGAGAGAGAGAAAGAGGCGGAGCCTGGGCCGTCCGTCAGCCCTCAGATGGAGAGTCAACAGCCCCCAGGTCTGGAGGTGGCTGATGAGGAAGAGGAGAAACAGCTGGGTCCAGTGCCTGATGCCTGACTGTGCAGAAGGTAGAGGAGAGGAGAGCAGTGGAAATCCATGGGCCGGTCCTTGGGAAGGAAGAGCCACCACTGCCAATGAAGCCCCACCTTAGCTCTGGGGATAAAAGGCAGGGGGGCGGAGATGAATAGCTGTGGCAGACAACTATTCATCTTCCGGCCAGACCGACTAGTTAGCCTGCGTCAGGAGAGAAACTTTTTGCCGGGTCTGCCGGCACTCCTGATAAAGGAATCTTTGAGTTAACTTCGGAGGGTTTGTTGTGTTTGGGAAGCTGGGTCGGAACAATAGTGCTGCTCAACTCTCATCATCCCTGACTCTTTTATTCAGGCTCACTGGAAACCATACATGCAAATCAAACGTTCTTATCAGAAAGGCTGTCGGCCTTTCTGGATGGAATGTGTGAATTGCAATCCACAATCCAGGATAAGCCTGTTTTGGCAGCAACGTGTTCTGCTACTTGACCATTTCTGATATGCGCTGTCCAGAAATGATAGAGAGTGAGAACATTTGAAGTGGGTGGCATTTTGGCACTTGATTGCTTTCCCCGTGAAAATTGTCACAGTAGAAAAAAAGAGCATGTTTTAAAAACTTTGGTAGACAAGGATTTTGCAGCTTTCGACCCAACCTGGCCCCCTCCAGATCTGATGGGACTGGAGCAGCCAAGAGACCTTTCCCACATAAACTCCACCCCCAAGTCTGTCCTCATTGTCTTCAGAATCAAGCCAAGAGTTGGGTTGCTGGTCTTTCCATTTCACACTTTGGGCATGGAGATATAGGCTTGATTCACCCATCACGGAAAACCGTGAGTTCGTTTAGCTATGGTTTAATGACGGAGCCAGAGATGGCTGGGATGATCAAAAATGTGAAGGCATCATCCGTGACTTGCAAGCCACAGGGCCTCTTTCCAGGGGTGGGATTCACAAGTTCCCACCCCCGGTTCTGTGGGCATGGCTTGGTGGGCGTGGCTGCAGGAGTGGGATCGCGCGACTCATGCGGCTTGTGCAATTGCACACGCATGCGGCAAACACGCACTTTGTGCGCATGTTAAAACAGTAAAAACTAAGCTATTGCGCCTCAGCTGTTTAGCACAGCAATCTGCTCTGCCACGCCCAACAGCTGAGAGGTTTAAAAAGGACCCAGGAGCAGGGGCAGGTGGGTGGGCCCAACTGCAGAGCATTAGAGAGGTTCGGAGCGAACTGGTTCTCTGCCAGCTGATCTTCGGCGCTACTGGTATGCCAGAACTGGGCTGAACCGGTAGAATACCATCACTGGCTCTTTCCACTTTCTCATATGTTAAAATGATACAAAAACTATGTTCTGGTTTAGAATATTCTTTTTTTATTAAAATAAAAGTTTTTTATTTCCATCTACATGTACACAACAATACATTAACTGTGTGGCATCAATATATCATACATTTTAGTATAAGCAAGCTCTTAATATCCACATTCATATTAAGTCAAAATCCTTCCTTGCTTATTTTCAACATTTCAATACTCTCCTCTAATGCCAACCACCATATCAGTTAGACATACCTAATAATTTCATTATTCAATTTCCTCCTCAATTTTTTTTAAGTTAAAGAAAAATCTCATTTGGCAAGCAGTATGGTTCTAGGTTTCAATACAATACAAACATGACCATATTTACCTATTAATTTTGTTTGTTCAATTTCATATCACATTAACCTTATTAGTATTAAGTATTAAACTTATCCAATTCCAATTTATATTATAACTTATTTTATTCATTAGAGTATTCTCATACCTTAATTTACAATGTTATTTAAAATTCTCATCTCATTTCTATATGCATCTCCCAAATTATCTTTATCTGTCATATTTGCAATTTTATCAATCCTTAGTTTAATTCAAAATTGTCCCCTCTGATTATTAATTTGAGCCAGCCACCTTCAATCTACCTTGATACCATCTCCCTAATTACTATATAACACATACACGCACGCACACACATATATACTTTTTTTTGTCAGATTCCGCATTACCTTTTCTCAATCACCTTATCAATCATCTATACATTACAAAAATATTAGTCTAATCAATTAATTATAGCAACTGATATTAATTCTTCCATAATAGTTCTCATTTCATCATCTTGGTTTAGAATATTCTGTGGATTAATCATTCCAACCCCTTGGAAAATAACCACTTGTTTTCTTAAAATGTGCTTTATTTTACTGATTATCTGTACCACCTTCTCAAAGCAACTCTGGAAAAACATGCAGTGTAAAATAATGTAAAACAAACCCCTAAATAACACCCTGCAGCTTGCCATAAAAACCAACAGCCCAGTCAGCCCCAATATAAAAACAACAGCAAGATGTAACTCTATGGCCGCCCATTTATTCCCTGCTTATGTATCCAGAGTGCGCTAAACAAGAAACGTCTTTTTTCTCCAGTCTGGATTTCTAGGAGTGGGTGGGCCAATTGTATGGGTGGGCTTCATAAGTTTCACAGCAGTGGGGCCATCACCCCAAAGTCCTCCTGGGTTCACTCTTTTTATCTCTTGTGAACATGGGACCTTCTGCAGACCCTCTCTAGATGATTTCCCAAAATGGACAGTGAATAAGGTGTTCCCTCATGGTGACGGTGATCTCAGAGATGGTGATCTCTGTTTCCCTCAGACAGAAGACCTCCAGCAATTCTTTCCCAACAACCTTTTGGAGACTGGGAGTGATCTTCTGTTCTTTTGGGTCGCCCGGATGGTGATGCTGGGAAAACAGCTAACCGGAGAACTGCCTTTCTCTCAGGTGAGGGCTGGAGGCCAGGTATCCTTGCCTTTTGGAGCTCTCGGGCTTCAGGGATCTGAGGGCACAGTAGGAATACCCAACAGAGAGACAGGAGCCAAAGAATCCATTTAATACTGAGAAATTTTGTTTAGTCTTAGCAATAGCAATTAGACTTGTATGCCTCTTTATAGTGCTTTACAGCCCACTCTAAGTGGTTTACAGAGTCAGCCAATTGCCCCCAACAATTTGGGTCCCATTTTACCCACCTCAGAAGGATGGAAGGCTGAGTCAACCTTGAGTCTGGTGTGAGTCGAACTGCCAAATTGCTGGCTGTCAGCAGAAGTAGCCTGCAATACTGCACTCTAACCACTGCGCCATCACAGCTCTTAGCTAGGTTCTCGTTAGTTACTGCTGTGTTCTCCTTCAGTCTGCATTTTCCATGTTGAATTCCATTTCTTAATTTTTCTGTCATCCTGAAATCGCTCCTGTTTGGGTTGTTACGTCGATTGTCACACTGAATTCAGCTTAAGTTGTTATTTAGACAGTCCTTGGTTTATTACCGGTCGCATAGTAACTGTTTGAACTTTGAAGGCCCTCTTCATGATCACGTGACCGAACTTTAGACACTTGGCAACATGGCTGCATTTACATGTGCAGCATCCTGTAATTACATGACTGCAGTTTATGATCCTTTTGCCAAAAATAGCACTCCTGGTTTTTAGCAAAACTCTGCACATCACAAACCACTTGGCTGGTTTTTAAAAAAAATGACAGTGGTGTTTGCATAAAAACCATAGCATCTGCTTTACGACCACCACATTCACTTGGCTGCTCAAAAAAAATATATCATAAAATCAGGTTAAAATAAAAACTGTTTTGTGACTGTTGAAACAATATGAGCATAACGGGCTGACTCCATCACGGTCATATTTCGAGGATTACCTGTGTTGTACTTTGTCACTCTGGATTATAACTAGGGGACTATCATGACCTTTAATTGTCTTCCCAGTTCTATGGTGTAAATTAGAAATAAACAATTTTGTGCTCCTCAGTTTGATTGCACTCCATCAGCTACAGCCAAAGTCAGTGAAGAAGTGTAGAAACCATAACCTAAAATAGGGAACATCTTGTTTACCGCTGTTTTTGTTGAAGAACCATAATACATCTACTACAGGATAGACACAGTTTAGTTGGGACTTTATCTAGAATGTAGCTAATGACAAGGAATCATAATTATACAAATTATTTGGAGAAAATCTTGTTCCTTTCTACTGAATCAAGTACTCCCGCACTCCTCGAGTAGAGGATGTGATCTTAAGTTGCAGGATGACAGTTCTTCCTTGTATGTCAGAAGGATATTTTTAAACTATTTGTTCATCAGTGCAATCGATTAGGTAGAGAGCTGATGGACCTCTCTCTAAGATGTCCTTGATATACAGAAGACACATAGCCATTGATTAGAGAAGCTTGAACTTGGATGGAACAGAAGGTAGGACGTGGTCACCTAACCAAGCTTGGTTACCTCTCAGTTCTAGGATTTTACAAATTCTGTGTCTGAGGAAAAAAATAATCCAAGGTGAAGATTTTGAGTAGAGTTTTGTGCTCCATCCTGTCTTATTTCTCTCTGCTTCAGGTGTTCCTTCACTCCTTAATCCATGATGCTCATGGCAGGAAAATGAGCAAATCTCTTGGGAATGTTATTGACCCCTTGGATGTTATTCATGGGGCCTCTTTGCAGGTATTTTTTTTTTTTTTTTGCTTTTGGGGACATTTAAGAGTTTTCTTAATAGCCTTTCCTTTGAGTTTTAAAAAAATCCTTCCAACTGGGTTTATTTCTACAACAACGGATGTAGGATTATAGCCCGGAAACCCAGAACCTTCTTAAAGAAGGGAATAAGGAATTGGTAGATGAACAGGGGGAATTAAAAACACTGGATAAACTAAAAGAACAAGGGATAATATTAGACTGGTGGGTATATTTGCAAATTCAAACTAAATTTAAGAAAGATGTAAAGGAGCTAGGGATAGATAAAGACTTACAAAAATTGGACCAAATCTTGATAGGCAAGGATATAAAATTTATAACACGAACATATAAATTATTTACTGGAGGTAGAACTAGAGGAGGAAATTGTTAAACCAATGATTGCCTGGGCGAGAAATGTGGGTCAAAATATAAATTTGGATGAGTGGGAAAAGACTTGGACCAAGAACTAGAAGCTGACTTTGTCAACGGCATTCAAAGAAAATCAATATAAAATGTTTTGTAGATGGCACTTAGCACTGGCACGACTGGCAAAAATGTATCCAACCTTGAAATCAGAATGCTGGAAGTGCAAACGAAAGGAACGTTTTTCCATATGTGGTGGCAATGTATAGGGGTCAAAAAATACTGGAAGAAAATACAGAGATGGCTTTTTGAGATTACAAAATATAAATTGAATTTGGAACCCGAAATGTTTTTATTAGGTATGATCAAAGGGAATTTGAGTAAAGATAAAAGATACCTTATTGTACACATCTTAACTGCAGCAAGAATCACATTAGCACAAAATTGGAAGAGTGATAAAATACCACCAGATGAAGTTTTGATTCAAAAAATAATATACTGTGCTGAACTAGATAAATTCAGTATGGAACTGAAAGGCAAAGAGGATCGAGAATACCATGCGACATGGGAGAAGTGGTACGAATGGGTGAAGGATAAGGATAAAAATAATGTATAGTCACAAAATAAGAAACATGTATGTATAATGACACAATAATTGTTAATGGAAATGAGATTTTTGTATTTTTTGTTTTTAAAGAATAAAAATTTAAAAAAAAGGAATGCATCATCTTAAAGTACCTTTAAAGCAGGGGTGGGATTCTACCAGTTCGCACCTACTCGCTAGAACCGGTTGTTAACATTCTAAGCAGTTCAGAGAACCGGTTGTTAGAAGAAATCACTGGCCTAATCCTGTAAGGAAGGCAGGAAGGAAACATTCTGGTGTTGCTTACAGAAACTGCCTCTCCGCTAACCCTTATTACATTCTTGGCAGGACTAGACTTCCTGTCTCTGGAGCTTCTCTGGAGTTTTTTTTCCTCCTTTGCTGGTACTTTGCTTGTGTGGAGTGACCATTCAAAGTTACAATGGCACTGAAAAAAAGTGACTTATGACCATTTTTCACACTTACGACTTTTGCAGAATCCCCACAGTCATGAGAGGCCAGGCGAGGAGATGCGTGCCTCGATGTGAGTGATATTGAGTTGGCCACACCCAGCCAATAACATGACCACCAAGCCACACCCACCAACTAAGCCATGCCCACAGAACTAGTTGTCAAAAATTTTGAATCCCACCCCTGCTTTAAAGTACTCTGGGGGCTTATAAATGTACGTGGGGGCTTATATCAAGAAAAACACGAGAAAAGTGCTGCCAGAGTTTGGGTGCTATGATTTTGGGGAAAGGTTTTGGGTAGGCTGTAAAAATGGGTTTGGGTTGCATGGAGGTGGCTTCCCATCAGTCACTAGCTGCTTCTATTCCTGTCTCAGGTCCTACAGCAGAAACTAAAAGATAGCAATTTGAGTCCACAAGAGCTTGTCATTGGTTCAGAAGGCCTGGTAAGCCCTTTTCCTTTTTGTCACTCGCACCCCTCTTTATTCCCATGGCCCTTGTGATCTCACTGCTCCCCTCTCTGCTCCTTTTCAGCTTCAGAATTTTCCTCAAGGAATTGCTGAAAGTGGCTCTGATGCCCTAAGGTTTGCTCTCTGCCGTTACGATGCCCACGGTGAGAAATTCAGTCCATCAGTCTTTCAGCTGAACTGTTGCTGGCCCTTTAAGAACTCCTAACAAGAACAAAAAATCAACAATTTATTATTGACCATTGGTCAAACTCTCGGTAGTTGGGCAACCAAGGAGGCTAGAATGATACAGATTTTGGAAAAGTCTCTTTCATGTTGGTCTGGTTGAAAATATAATCTTGAAAATTGTAAGGGTCAAGTCCCATTGAGACTTACATTAAATTAATTAAGGTGACCCTTC